TCATTTGTGGCACAGTGCAGCGCGGGCCTGATGAACTGACCTCGCGGCCCGAAGTTTGGTGAACCCTGCTCTAGCGTATAGTTTCAAAATTCGGGATAACTAGCAAAGTATATAATTATCTAATTTAAGACCATCTCGATATGAACAGTAATTTCGCTAAAGATACAAGTTGAAATAGCTGTAATCTTAAAAGTAATACATTGTCTGGGGTATTCCACAGTTATAGCATGCAAGTTATCGCACGTGGTACACACAGAACCTGACGTATGTGTTTGTACGTTTGCAGAATAACACTTTTTTATACTTGCTGGTTTTAGTATTTAAATTACTAGTAATCACACGTGCATAGCAAAAATGTCATTAATTGTTAATACGTAATAACTCTATACAGTAAGGCGATTGGATTATATTTCGTATCTTTGCCCTGTGTATTGATCGAATATATATGCCTTTGTTACCATAGTGATGACTAGAATGAACAGATTTAACTTAAGAAAAGTATTTGAAACAAAGATTTACCATCATCTCCAAATGATGAAAAACCGATTGACGTATTCTAATATCTTTCTTTTTTTTTCGTACTTAAGTTAGAAAATTATTTAAACTCGTTTAGTACGTTTATAACTTATTTTATTGTATTAGTTATTTCTAATTTGTTTCTTACATTTTGTAGTACAACCCTTGATAAACGAGACTAGGGAATGACGTTGTATAATTTTAAACAACCAAAAACGTCTGGTGACCGAATGTTGACATGTAACAAGTGTAAGACGCATACGTGTTTCTTTAGATTAGAGAGAGAGAGAGATAGTGTGACTTTTTCCCGACAAAATACCACCACTAATATTGTTCAGGTTCTACACATTCACACTGTAATGATATCGACCTTGGCCGAAGTTAATTTAATGAAGGTTCCGTGTCATGGGAGGAGGAAGAGAAAAATGTATTGGTTTTTCCTCTTAGTTGGGGTGGTATATTTCAGATTTGTCTCTTATCCTTCAACAAAAGTAGACATAAAATAATAATCCAAGTTGTGTAGCTGGTGGATGGCTTGATATTTTTTCAGAAAAACAACACATCTTATCGGGTATGAAATATGGGTAGACTTGTTTACAACTCATAACGTAGGTAAATTTTAAATAAGTATTTACGGTAGAGAAAAGTCCGCGTATAATTCTACATAAAAATATTGGTAGATAGCGATGCACTTGTTAGTTTCCTTTTTTTTTCCTTGCTACTATTTTTTTTTATTTCTTCTCTGATCATAGAATTACAGTTTCGGTTTGTAGCTAAAGAGCGGTCAAGAGAGACCAAAGCAAGAGACTTCTTGTCAACTTTTTTTTTACCATATAGGAGATTATTGTATTAATAATTATCATTATGTGTTAATTTCACCATTTTTAGGCAGTGAAAGATAGATTTTGTAACATAAATGTTTGACAAATTATATAATTATTTTGGTAACGGTGTGTTCCAAACTTCGTAAACAAACGAATGTGACGTCATTGTTATAGTACACGTTGGTATATAAACGTCAGTTGAACCTAAAACTATCTGGAATTATAGAGAATAAAAAAAAAAGTCAAAATAGTTTGGGAATGATAAAAAATATTTTTGTGTAGATTATGGTCGTAAATAGAAGATCAAGATTATTGGTGAGTTTTAAAGTGAATATCACCTGTATTCAGAAGGCATAGAAAGTTTAATTATGTGGGTTATAAATACATAGTGTTACTGTTAAGACATTGTATTACGATTCTTTGAAATAGGCTTAGTCACAGTGATGGGTAGACTTAGTAGGAATCGCGATTGTTTTGAAATAAGTATTTGTCTGATACTAAACCAGAACTTCGGCAAACTTGTAAAAAGCAATATAAAGTATTAGAAGTGTTTTAACAGATCAAGTTTTTGTTTTAAAAGTCCGCCAATCGTTTGTTAATCCCAAAATAATTTAGCTCGAGGCCTAACGTTTAATAGCACCATCCAATAAGCCCGTCAAGAGGGCAAGGTGATTGGTTCAGTTTGGCTTCGTTAAAACACGCTCGCTTAAGCAGCGTTGTCTGGTTACGAGGCTAGTTTGTGTATGACGTACATTTAGTCGTTCTCACGTTTTTGCCTCGCGGCGTTATAAGTGAAGTGAACTTTTCTGATTTTGCGCGCTCAATGATCGTGTCTTTTTTTCTTTCTCTATCTCTCTCTGCCACTTTCTTCGCTGCCGCTGTTCGCTCGGGATTTTCTCTTCCGTTTTCCCAGGTTGAAGCTGCATACTCATTATTTGAACCTGTTCCACTCGCCCATAAAGTTAATAAATCCAAGTTGGAATTGAAGTAAAAGGAAACACAATATTTGTTTGTTTTTTTTATAAAACAGTTAACCGACATCTTGTTCTTGTGACTCGTTCATTCTCGTCTTTTCTCCAATTTTTTTGGTTCTGCCATTTGTGTGGATTTTGCGCCTTTTTAAAAGAGAAAAGTGAATTTTGTTCATTAGAGGCTAACTGAAGTCAAGCTCTAGAATTCGAAGAGGGAAGGTTTTTCTTATCAAATGGTAAGTTACCAATTTATCTCGTTGTTGTTATGCTATTACACGAACGCATAGGTCGGAACGTGAACTTGTGTCTCAATGCTACGCAATATGTTTCGGTGTAGCGCCACGTAGCAACAGACCATATAATTTATAGCTGGACGCGCTTGTTTCTACTTGTACCAGGCTGCCTTGTCTAGAGCAAGTCCGTGAACAAAATTCGTGAAAAACGTTGTTTTTTTTGTTTATTTTTTTACCACTTCCTCTCTTGACTTCTCCGTCTCTTCCCGTGTAATTGGTAATTTTAGGTGTGTGTGGATTCACTTGTCTGTTGTCACGTGTGTAGATATTTACATATCCGCAGTTGGTTTCAACTCTTTTTGTTTGATGCTACAATACAGGCGAAGTTTCCTGTATCCGCTTTAGTCAAGTCTTCCTTTGTGTAAAAACCAGTCGTACAGCTACGGGCCTAAAGTCGCTCTGATTTCCTTCCATGTGTCAGTCAGTGGTTGTTGTTTGAGATGATGAGTTTCACGGTATATGTTTTAAGAAATGTAAATAAGCCTGCCTGTACAATTGAAAGAGTTTGTTGAATTGCCGAGTTGTGAAATAATGTCTGCTATGGTATGTCGCACATTCTACTTACAGTGTTGTATGTTTAGATTTTTACGAAAGTACGTTAAATATACGTGTTGTGTATCGCCATTTTTGCTTATGAATATATGATATCGCAACACAAAACGGAATATTCATGTCATAAAATCTTTACGTTGTCAGTTATAGTTAATTATAATTACGCTTCGGTAGCAAAAGGCGTTCACACCATATCGAGTATTATTATAATAGGCGTTTAATGTTTATCCCTGAACATTCTTAGCTTCATTTTTTAACAAAGAGGCTTAAAATTTCATAATTTTATAGGAGAAAAGGAACTCCAAAACTTTTAAAGTTTCGTTAAATCATATATTAGTTTTGAACTCTTACTGTTAAAAAATGTTTACATATATATTGCAGTGAAGAAATATTCTCTTTTTTTGTGAATTTTGGCTATCCTTATTTGAAATAGGTTTAGATTGTTGGCTCTTTAGAAATATATTTGCTGATGTAAAAGTGTTTTATTTTAACAAATTTAAGTTATCTAAATCTGCACGAGTTTCTTGAAGTTGTGGTAATTTATATTATTAAATAATCCAATATATATTTTATTTATAGTATTCGCTAGTATTACATTTCTTAAATAGTAATAACTACATTGGCCAAATGTAGTAGGCATAGAAAATTTACACGTGACAGTCCTGCTTCGGTGCTTGGTAATGTCACTAAGCAGGCTTAGCCTCGTCAGGTATTCGTGGGTTAAAGGCCGAAAACACCGCTAGCAGCGAGGGTACCCAACTGATAACCTAGATTTTGTTGGTTTAACTGTTATTCATATTGAGGACTATTATCAATCAATTGCAGTTATTATGGTTGAATTTTAACAGCTCTTCAGGTAGAAATTATTACGTACTTAAAGTACAGCAAAGTGTACGGAGATTAAAACCGTATGATGTCACTTCACAATTTACTTGTGATAGAGGGGAAAAAATCGAAGCAAAATGTTTGTTTTTTTTTTACTATTTTACTTCTTTTTTCGACCATGAACTTTTCATGACAATTTTTCAAATTTTGGCGCTGAAAATTTTGCACCCAAAAGCGGTAATCGCTCCTAAGTCTAGCCTTTATTACACCCTTATTCTGTACACTCCGATAAAATGTTACGTTTATCCAATGATATACTTGTATTGACGTTGTAGCAGCTAACTTCAGTTTTGTTACAGTAGTTATGAACCCAATATGTTGATCAGATGTAATGCCAATAATGTTCACCCATAATGTATACACCAATCGGTGTGTTACGGTGTTTCTTGTATTGTATCAAGCCCGGCTTCACCTCCTCTTCCCATTTGTTTTGGGGTGGGAGTGGACGGTCCATCCCAGCAACCCCGAGCGGCAGCCCTGTATTGTACCTTTTTAACGTCAAGTAACAGCAGCGTTCTTTTCCATCCCAGCAACCCCCTAGCGGCAGCCCTGTATTGTACCTTTCTAATGTCAGGTAACAGCAGCGTGACTAAAGCTAAGAAGTGTAGTTTACTTCAGTTAAAATTCGACTAAGTCTGAAACCTCATTGATGTAAGCTACTTAGTGGACGAATCGAAACTTTTATTTGTTGTTTTAAATTTAAAGAGTCTTTCAGAGTATAGCAGTGTCTCATGTTACGGATAAGTACTTAGACCATTAGATCTAACATCAGAGTATAGCTGTGTCCCATGTTACGGATAAGTACTTAACCATTAGATCTAACATCAGAGTACAGCTGTGTCCCATGTTACGGATAAGTACTTAGATCATTAGATCTAACATCAGAGTATAGCTGTGTCCCATGTTACGGATAAGTACTTAGATCATTAGATCTAACATCAGAGTACAGCTGTATCCCATGTTGCGGATAAGTACTTAGATAATTAGATCTAACATCAGAGTATAGCTGTGTCCCATGTTACGGATAAGTACTTAGATAATTAGATCTAACATCAGAATGTAGCTGTGTCCCATGTTACGTATAAGTACTTAGATTATTAGATCTAACATCAGAGTATAGCTGTGTCCCATCTTACGGATAAGTACTTAGACCATTAGATCTAACATCAGAGTGTAGCTGTATCCCATGTTACGTATAAGTGCTTAGATCATTAGATCTAACATCAGAGTATGGCTCTGTCCCATGTTACGGATAAGTACTTAGATTATTAGATCTAACATCAGAGTATGGCTGTGTCCCATGTTACGGATAATTACTTAGACCATTAGATCTAACATCAGAGTATGGCTGTGTCCCATGTTACGGATAAGTACTTAGACCATTAGATCTAACATCAGAGTATGGCTGTGTCCCATGTTATGGATAAGTACTTAGATCATTAGATCTAACATCAGAGTATGGCTGTGTCCCATGTTACGGATAAGTACTTAGATCATTAGATCTAACATCAGAGTATGGCTGTGTCCCATGTTACGGATAAGTACTTATATCATTAGATCTAACATCAGAGTATGGCTGTGTCCCATGTTACGGATAAGTACTTATATCATTAGATCTAACATCAGAGTATGGCTGTGTCCCATGTTACGGATAAGTGCTTAGATCATTAGATCTAACATCAGAGTATAGCTGTGTCCCATGTTACGGATAAGTACTTAGATCATTGGATCTAACATCAGAGTATAGCTGTGTCCCATGTTACGGATAATGCTTAGACCATTAGATCTAACATCTGTTTCAAAATTTTAACCTTTTTTTTCCTGATTTTCTTTTTAACCTAAAATTTGTTTTTTAATTTCTTAGTATTATGTTACTCAGCTGTAAACAAGAGCGTGTAATTTTTAGTATTTTATTCATGGTGGATCTGGAAAATATATAAGAAATAAATAAATGATAGGAGTTTCCAGCCTTTACTCTCAAGTGACAGAGGTTTTAAAAATAACTTCCTTTTCTTGTCAACCGTTCACCCAGCGGACGGTTCGAAGTGTTATTTAGGTAGTACTAAGAACGTTGTCACTATTGTTCTAACGGAAACCCCGTTGAATTGTTCTTGTCTTTGTTTTTAAACAATTTTTGCGTAGAAATGCCTCTGGGTTCTTAACTTTATTGATTATAAGATGAGTCACCCGTAAAAAAATTTAATGAATCTGCACTTAATGCCACTAATTAATTACTGCTGGAGTCCACAACCTCGTCGGCTTTTTAAACTATTTTGCGAAAAAACGCTTGTGGGTCCTTAACTTTATTGATTATAAGACCCTTAATAAGATGAGTTACCCGTTAATTTTTTTTTTTTTTTCTTCCAACGAGACATTTGTTCGTTATTCGTATTCTCATATGTTCCACATTTTACTGGATCGGCATCACACACATGTGCAATGATGCAAGGTTTGGGTTCCCGGATATATTTGTGCTGGTTTTCTTACAGTTACAGAGTGCGGGCTTCACAGCGTTTGTCATTATGATCTGTAAACGTCTGTTGTTGCGAAAAGCTCTCGCCCCCCCCCCTCCCCGGTATTGGTACTACGTCATTTTCAAACTTGTATATGATCTGTAATCAGGGCCCGGATATCATGAAACTGGAAAACGTCTTGTATGAGTAGTTTCGTTTCACACGAGACATCCATTTGTCTTTCACTTACAAAACATCTTTTAAAAGTTAACCTTTACTAACCTCTTAGGCTGTATCGAAATATTCGGGTTGACCCTAAGATAAAGCTTCGGATATCAGGGGGTTCGAATCCGTGCGAAACCCAAAAATATGGGTGCGTTGTTAGCGTGACAGTCAATCTCTTAGCGTAGATAGTGAGTAGTAGGGTGCTGCTGTTTACTAGCTGCCCTCTGGTCAGTAGTTCAACATTATGGATGGAGGCTTTGCCATAAATACGAATACATTCAAATTTTTGTTCGGTGTCTTTACACGAAGCTCAGAACCTAATCATCGAAAAGAAACAATTTTTACACCGAAAGAAAATAATTCAAAAACATTATTATTATTATTATAAAATATTATGTTTAAATTAAATTACGGTGTTTCCGTCAAAATGTTGTATTGGTTGCATATAAACGCTACTTATTTTTGTCGTATTTGCATTTTAGCAACGTTTGTTTCTTTTCGTTAAATGTTGGTTTAATTTCAGAAAAGGAAAAATTTCAACAAATATTTAAAATACATATAATCAAAAGATTTGTTCACGATAAATAAAATTGTATATTTAGTGGCAGAAAAAAGTGTTTACAAAACACAATTTTGTTGTTGTTTTTTCGGACAATCTTTATCGAAAGATTTCCTTTTCTTATACAAAATCAGAAACTCCACTAAAAACCTTTCCAAACAGTTTATAATTCATTATTTTTATATATTTGTTTAATTAGTTATTTCATTTATTCTATTCTTCTTTGTTTAGCGCAAGGCAATTTCTTTTATAGATTCTAGTCAAGAAAT